TAAGCCAGCTGGGAAAACAGAATGCAGAATTATGTTTGTTCTTATCTAGACATCTATCATTTTTCAGAGTTCTTTTTTCCTTTTGCAATTCTGTCTTAATGAAAGTGTATTTTCTGCTACATCTTTCACTTATATTTTTCTAAAGGAATATTTATTTTCATCCTTATAGCACTAGTGACTTTATTGGGTTATCTTGCAAGTATGAAAGATCTGCACAAAGGAATGTGTTTGCAGCAGGTAGAAATTCATGAGATTTACATGCCCCAGAGTATGTCTGCAACCAGTTCTGCACACTGAGATAGGTACACATATGAAGCCATTCTACAAATGAAAAGCCAGAAGCTCTGGTTTTGTTTCCAAGGGTCAGAAAAATTGAGCTATATAATTAAATATAATACTCTATAAAAATTATTAGTTAATTCATATTTATGTAAATGTACCTCTTATGATATGCATTAGGTTTCTTGTATTTTAATCAGAGAAAATTATAAATATAATCAAGAAAGCCTTGTTACTGTTTTCAACCAGAGCTAATTGTCTTGTAGAACACTTAATGAGTCATTATTCATTATGATGGTGAGGACAGGGAAGGCAGATGGCATGGTAGTTTTATTGATTCTGTGATCCTACTGTAGCTTGCTGATTAAGTAGGATTGAACATCACAGTTAGTGAGGCCAGAATTACACAAAATTCTGTTTTGAGTCAAGGATATCAGGCAGGAACTCTCAGACAGCATTGTTCAGAGACCTGCCATCCTAATTTGTACTTACAACAACAGAATATTGCATGCAGTCTTCCATTTCAGCTTCCATTTAATTTCCAAGTTATTTTATGGACTAAGTTACATTCACTTCATCCAGACACAGCCATGGAGGTGTTAAAGATCTGCTGAGGTTTAACAGAGAGACTCATTTGTGCATACCTGCAGAGAACATTCAGCTCACTGCCTCAATAGGGAATTTCCTCTACTGGGTGCTCTAGCACTTGTCCTCTTGGTAGATGGGTAAGTGCTGCTGTGTGAAAGTAAAATAACCTGAAATTACGCCCCTTGATTCTGAATTATTTTGAAATGGTTTCATATTCTCATTTCTCTCTGTGCTTTACAGCACAAAGTGGCCTTATCCCAAAAAGATGCAAGCATTGTTTTATAAACTTATTGTACTCAATAAGTACAATGTACTCAATACCTCAGAGCATGGGCTTTAGTAGTAATGATGACATGGTCACAGTTCTTTTAACAGAATTTATCACATTACCAAGCTATTCTTTCTGTATTTCCCAATATATCACCAGAGCTGTATGAAGACCTTGAGTCTTCCACTGCTGATAATTCATAGGCACCTTTTTCTGCATTAAGTTATATATTATCCTCTTCTTTCTGGTCTAACTTGTTTTGTTCAATCCCCTTTGAGATGTGTAATTTAGTTCTTTCTAGAGAACTGGTTGCAGCTGCTCTCATTATTAGATCTGCATTGATATTAAGAGGAGTTTAAGCTATTTAAATCATGGGGTCAGACACTACAGCAATAAAAGATGATCTCTAACTTCCAGTGTATCATAAAACTTGTAAGTCACATATCCACTACACTGATGCATTTGTACTGACAGACATGTGAACCCTACAGACAATTGCTATTTTTGTTGGACCATCTAATTTTTTTCTGATTACACAGGTACAATGCAGTGAACAAGATAATTGAAGAATGAAGAAAGCACACATTCTATCAGTCAATGCAAAGTGAGAAATTTAACTTAATGTTTTGCACTGATCATTCTAATTTATGCTTTGTCTCTAATTTCTTTCACTTAAAATCGGTTACTTCAGAGAAGAATAATTGAATTGTTAGCTTACACCTGAAAGAAAATGTAAGGTCTGCTGTGAAACACCTAACCTACCATGATAGCAACATTTTGTGACTTTCCAGACTTTCGGGATATTTAATTCTACAAATAGCTGCTTCATTGAAAAAACCTCTTTTTAAAACACGAATCCCAATGACTAGTGTTTTTGTGTTTTTTGCAATTAATTAATTTCTATCAATATTTTGACCAAACCTACATGATTAATCTATGATCTGTATATAATCGATCTTAAATCACAGACTAATTTTAAGCAGTTTAACTGTTTAATTTACAATGCTGTTGAAAGTCTGTAAAGTTGTATTTTCTGCAGGAAGGAGAGAACACACAGATCTGCACTGGGACATATGGTCTCTCCTAGAGAAGATTTTTGCCATGCATAGCCTTTGGCCAAAGCCCACCATCTGTAGCTTCAACTTTTCTTCCAGCTGCCGGTAAAGGTGAAGTATAGAACATATGCTGCAGAAAGAGTAACCTTTACAGTAAGATTTCATTTATTTCCTGGTTTGTTGGGTTGTTTGTGGTTTTTTTTTAATATTCAGAGACATTTTTCAACAAAATATTTGTTAATGTAAAACTCAGAAAAGTAAAACTCAAATTCAGAGCTTAAAAAAATTAGGTATACAACTAAGAACTCCAGTGGACATAGGTTAGTTTTTATGTAAAGAATTTGCTTCCTCAGTTTTGGAGAAAACACAGGATAATAAAAATACAGGCATTCCCATTTTATGTTTGGGATGTAGGTATAGAAGGAATGAATCCCACACTCTCTCAATGTGAACAGGGAACGAGTATCATTGATGGATCATTTAAACAAAGATGCTTGACACACTGTCAGTTCTATCCTAGAATGATCCCAACGAGCTGGAAAATGGCTGTGTGCAAGTAATAGAAGATTCTAATATTACTTGGCAAGACATAATTACTGAACACATGACTTCCACCTCAATATCATTCGTTTTTGTCTAACTTAAGTCATAAGGGAAACCAACTGCATAGAGAATGAGTGTGCTGCTCAAAGTTTTCACACCATTTCCAAAAACTTGGCAGTGTTCACAGCATCTGCTCCCAGGCAGCCCAGGGTGCTGCAGGACAGGAATGGAGCGAATTAGAAGAGTTCCAGGTGTGCCAACAAACTTGCATAATAAAACTTGCTCCAGCCTGGCCTTAGGCATGGTCACATAGAGCAATCCATGAATACCAAAACTCATCATGAACAAGAAAAAATGATTATAGCCACATAATATAATACACTCTAATGGTTGAACCAGCATGGCTGAACACCTCAAGCATTTCTATTTGCTTCTGACCCTGAACAAAGTGAAAGTTGTAGGACTAAATAATTTATATATTTCGAAACACTAAGCGGCTGACAGGTACCGTACTAACAAATGGAAGAACAGCATTATAGCATTCCAAACATATGCCTGAAAAGCTGGTGGAAGGTAAAGCAATGAGAAGACAGAACGTAACAGGAGGACAAAAGATGTTTAAAAAAGAGGTGCATTCTTTCACAGGCTGAGGAACATGCAGGATGACACATCAGATGTGTTGCTGAACCCAAGTCCTGTGTCAAAACATGTATACTGTCTGGGCTTTACACACAGCAAAGATCAGCAATTACTTTTCAAAGACTCCTTTATATGATAAATAGAAGCTGATTATGAAGAAGCTAAATGAATACAATTTTACTGTCAAGATATACATCATAAGTAAATTTGAAAACAACAAAAAAACTCCCTCCAAAAACATTTTAAGCTTCAATTTCAACAATTACTTTTAATTTCCATTCATAATGTTTTTTTTTGTAGCAAGACTATAAACACCTTCATTTCTTTTTCATTTCCTTAAAACATGAACAGGGAATAAACTAAACATCCTTCCTCTCTCATTGCTCTCTTCAGAGCACTTACACTTATATATTCCTTCCAGGAAATGTATTTGACAAAGCATCAGTAATACTTTTATTTTCATAGCACTTCCAAAAATGATATTCCAAGCTATAAACAGCATTTTAAGAACTAAACCCTCATCTCAGAACTCAGAGGGAAAAAAATATAATACCCCTCGCCCTCAAAAAATGAACTAAAACTCCCAAATAAATAACAGATAGTGATCAGGCCAAAAGAAGAACACCCAGCTGAGCTTATTTCCAACATAAGTCAACTGAGTTTGCCCTCATCATTACTCAATACTTTTTAATCTCTTAAATGGATTTTTGAAGGTTAAAAGGATATCTTTTTTTGGCTCTTAATGATAAAAGTTAGCCTGAAAGCATGTTTTCTGGTTTATTCCTGCATTTTGGGCACATACCATGCAGTCTACTATTCCTTACAAAGGTGTTCATTTTGGCTCCAGCTCCAGTGAATTCTGAATGAGTAAACTGGTCACATGTGCAGTGTCAACATTACTGTCTGCACTTTCTTGTCATGGCTCTTTCATATCACATCATTGTAGGCAGTTATTTAAAGGGTTTTAAAGGGGCAGGTAGGAACCTCCTGTTTGGGAAGTATTTTATGAGAAGGTTTTTTTGTACAATGATCTAGCACAGAAGGTAGGTCACCACAAAAAGTGCTTCCAGATAATGCAAGAGCTACTTTAAATTGGGCTGGGATCACTTCCAAAGTGAACACCTCCCTACAGAAGCATTCACTCACACAATTCCACATTTTATCTGACAGGCATTTTGGGAAATACTATTTTAATTGAGTCCCAGCCAGCAAAGTGTTGGGATTTATGGTGCAAACTAGACTTCACTAAATTTTACCCTGAAGTGAACATACTCACCAGTATTCCCTGTACAGCCTCATTTACAGCAGCTTGAACTGAAACGATGGAAGTGGCTGCATATGATTTTTTTTTTTTCCCTGAGAGACAATGTTGGAGCATATTGACACACACAGGTATTGCCTCAGGAAGTCCTAATGAAATGTGGCTGGCTTAATCACTGGGCTTTTTATTTGGGCACGACACCAAATTCCCAAGAAAAATGAAACATTAGGGCTAAACTTAACATCAGCTTGAGCGAGCAGCTCCTCGTATCCATCCGCTGTGCCGTTATTTGGGATCTGTGAGGGTGATTTTGCCCAGGCAAAGGGTGCAGAGGAGACAGCCACAAGAGCCAGCACAGCAGCCTTACCTGACTGCCCGGGTGGAGGAACTCCTGACGCTCCCCTGGGCAGACACAAAAACACCGTCAGGACGGCGGCTCTGTTTCCTGAGCACGGCTCGATGGCAATCGGCTTAGGAGCACCCTGGAAAAGGAAGACACCCAGGTTAACCTTTGAGATTTCCATTCCCATCTTTAGTCTCTTTTAAGGCACAGTGTACTGGAGGGAAGATATTTTCCCCTGATTAGTTCTCTGCATTCAGATTGTCCGAACCATGTTAATTGACTTAAAAAATGGGATCTGACAGCCCATGCTGCAGATCTAACCAAAGGAAAAAAATAAATCATCATAAAGACAAAAAAATTTTACTGAATTTCAGAGCTTGATAAATGTAGTAATATCAAATTAAAGCTTAGAAAACAGCAAAACCTTTCGATATACACATTGGTATCTGAGAGTAGCTAACTTCCTCATCTCTGTTAAGAAGTATCCACGTGAAAGAATTCTGCTTCAAGAGCATCCATTATCTAGCCTGCCTAATGCAAAACTATGAAATGAGAGAAAATCTATATTATATACCAATAGCTAAAACAGTCAATCCCTCTTGAGATCCCCAGACCAGGAATTCTGCCTTCTTTCTGTCTGTACTGCAAAGGAAATTATTTCTTTCAGACAGGACCTTCCTGATTCCTTTTCCACATGCAAAAAATAGGTGCAGTGCTATTATATTTATATATGCTTAGAAACTCTCTGAAAATGTTACCTGTGTGATAATCACCTTGCTTTATCTTATATAAAGCTATGATAGCAGTGGTGTTGATGGCAGGGGGTTTGTGCATTACCAAACTCTCATTAACTGTATAGATAATTTGCAATTAGCTTTCAAATAAATGGTTGCAACCATATTGATTTTGATTTACCAAGGACAGTAGGAGCTGAGGAAAAAAGCAAAGCAGTCCACAAAGGCATAGAAGAATATGTTTTTAAGATGAAATTTTACAGTGTATCCAAATTTCCATGTTTCCAAGTTTTGTGTTCACTCAGAGATAGGCATTTCACTTTTGAGAGCTTAAACATTTAGTCAAGCACTAAAGATATTTCTAAAAACATTAGGACAAAATCAGCATAAGCTTTTCTTTCTTTTTCTGTTTGTAAATTTTCTGAATGTCTGTCATGTTCCAAGGCAAAATATGAGTTCGACATTTTGATTCAAAATTCAAAGCCAGAAAACTTTCTATTTACATAAAAAATGCAATGTATACATAAATGTCAACTGATTCCACTATTCTAAGGAAAAAAATGATAGTTTAGAGAAGTTAAATATACTGCAAAGTACTTGATATAAGGAAAACAAAGGCACTTTCATCATGTAAAGCAATAATAATTTTCTATTTTTCTACCTCCAAGTAACCAAGATTTATTACTGCTCAGTGAAAAAATAGATAAATATACTATTTTTATTATTTTTTTTAACTTCATGGTCATCTTTAAAAGGTATTTCTGTAGATTTTTTTAAAGCGACAGCATTAAAGAACTTGGGTAAACAATGACATCTAATTTAAAATTGCCATGCCATAGGGAATGACAACTTACATTCACCAAAACCTTTACCAAATGACAAAACAGAAAACTAAAACCCTAAAAACTCCAGCTGGTGTTACTAATGCAAGCAATAGAGCATTTAAGTCAATATTCCTGACTTGTCACAACAGCAAATCAAACAAAACATTTGTTTTTACATCTTGTACTTGAACAAACAGAGAGCAAATGAAATCTTCATTTCAAAATGTAATTCAGAACACTTTATGCAGACACACAACTGAAAGGAACAAATTTACCACCATGACTTCTAATTTGGTGATTACTTTCTTATAAATCCAAATGATGCTATTTTGTTTTCCTGTGTAATATAAACCCTTTGATCAACAGGCCCCATCCCTCTGTTTGAAGTATATACTGATGCTCTTCAAAACACAGTTGGAGGGAATTATTTCTAAGAAATACTCTTTGAAAGGACTTCATCCAAAAATAAAATACACTAAGAATTTTGTCTTTATTTTTTCTTTATAAAAAAATTATGACTGCAAAAGCAAGATGTCTTATCTTACCTCACATCATTCAGGTTCCCTAGCAAAAAAACACAGTAGCATAGAGCAAATGATAATAATTCAGATAGCCTAAGGTTTGTCAGTTGTTTAAAGATAAATACATAACCATGAATCAAAGTTATTTCAAAGGGACATTACATGTTCTCTGAAATGTGCAATTTATCATGCATTTTCCACTGGTTTTTTGGAAGAGATAAGGCCCAAGTTTGTTTGCCCAAAGCAGTAAGGTACCATGATTTACTTGCTAGAATTATCTTTTTTTTCCTTTTCCCCTTGTACAGAAAGTGACTTACATTTTTTGCCAAAACCTCAAATGACAATCACAGATTAATAAAGCTTTATCAGTGGAAGACATAATAAACAAACACTTCTCTGATAAACTTTTACTCCTATATTCCCTTTTTTACACACATTGTGACAGATAAAGGTGTGTCAGTTGGGAAGGTGAAAAAGACAGTGGCAGAAAACTATGAAGGAATAAAAGGATCTAAGAGCATATATCATTATTGATAGGGAAAAAAGAAGAGCCACCCAGAGGACATAGAAAGAAGAAATAAGTGGAGAGGGTAGAGATTAAATCAGGCAAAAAAAAGAAAATAGATAAAGTTTTATCCACAATTTAAGTGTGTATTTATGCATTCACGGAAAATATATATCAGGAGTCATTTTCACAGGTTCTGAGATTTTTATTAAAGAAAAGGTTCTACATTCTCCCAGTCTTTTCCTGAAAGTCCTAAAAAGCCAACGTTCAGCTGCCTGGTGAGTTTATGAGGAAATACCAAGCTTTGGGAAGGTTCTTTTGGATCTGTTTCTGTAAGAAATAGATTTAGGCTGACTTATTTTTCTTCCTTCACAGGACAGAAGGCAATATTACATTGCTGGCAGAAAAACATGGCAGTGTATGCCACATTCATGCTTTATAAAAGAAAGCAGCAGAAGAGGTGAGTGTATTTATTTAAGCATCAAAACCCCCTGCAAACCTTGCATTATTGATGTGTCTGTTTGGGAATAAAAGGGTTGCTGAGCTTTAAGAGTGCACACCAAGGAGAAGCTGGGAAGTGGATTCTGACCCCCTTGGTGGGTGGGATGGGCAGCAGAGAGCAGTGGCCTGAAGAGGTGAGAAGAGCAGCAGAGCAATGACTCAGGGAGTGCTCATGGGGCTACTCTAAGTGCTCAGCATCTCCTTGGGCAAAATGCACTGAAACTTCAGCACAAATCTGTATCTATGAAAATATTTAATACTGTGAATACGGGAAGATGAAAAGTACAAAGTGTTTTGGTTCTGTCTGTATTCCAAGAAGTGGTGCCTCTCCAAAGCACTATAAAACTTTTGATTTTCAGTACTATCCCTCTATATATTTTCTTCAACATTCTAAGTTAGCTGCATCCAATTTTTAAAAGTGCATTATTATACCATAAGACAAATACTTCACATAAGACTAAATGGCTCCAAACTCATGCCAAAAAAGCAATTAGAAAATTGAATCAAGGAATTAAGGATTAATGTGAGCATGTTACACCTGTCAGAAGCAATAAGTATTTTGACAAGAACAGAATAAAGTTTGACAGTGTGCACAAATACAGATCTGATCCATAAATCAAGTATTAAAATGCAAACAGCTATGCATTAATCACTTAATGTTTCCTAACTAAAATGGTCTTAGTAGTACTTACAAGAATTCATTATAAGTAAAATTTCAGTTCTTCTTAAAAAACAGCTTGAATTATACTTTTTATTGTATTAAGTCAATTTAAACTTAGTTTTTAATCATATTATTAAAACAGCATTAATCTGGTGAATTCCAAATAAACTAAGCTAGATACCTTGGCAAATAAACAATCATATCTGTTGTTGCAACAGGATTAGGACCAGACTCAGAATGTAAACAGCTGCTTTTCTGGATTTTTAATGTGCAAGACTTCAGAGAAAGGGGGGGGGGGGGAAGGAAAAAAAAAAAAAGAGACTGTGTCCTCTGAAGAGGTAAGAGATACAGAAAAGGAGGAAACATAAAATTCAGACTGTTACAAGTATTCACATCTTCATTTGCTCTCAGCTTCTCGTGCTTTTCCTAAATTCTTTAGTTATTTTCTGAATTACTTGATTTATTTGGGATACACAAGTCTCAGATCCCAAAATGGGCTTGAGTTCCCAGGTTGGCTTTTGGTCAAATTAAGATGCCTAAAGGCAAATTCAGAAGACTCAAAAACCTGTAAGTCTTACTATTAGTATTAAAAATTTCCCAAGATTTGAAAGTACCATGCACATTTTGGTCTCTTCAATGGCTGCTCAGGATTCACTGGCATTCCTGCAGCTGCCCTGGACGTAGAGCTTGATCAAGGTAGCTGTTCCTAAAACATTCTTATCAAATTAGGTTTTTACATTGTAGTTGTGGCCCCCTTCATTTAAAACACAGTTGAAAGCAGAGATTAACTCTGTTTTTTATGATAAAAGGATGAATGCTGGTTGCTGTGTTCTGCCTTTACTAAATGTATGTTTGAGGTGAAATTCTCTGACCCATAATTAAAGATGACCTGTCAAATGCTATGATTGTTCTGACCATCTTCAGTGCAGTAAAGACAAACTTCTCAGCAGGGCTAAGAAAGAAAAGAAAATTCACCCTCTCAAAATCACAGAATTCCACTGATGCCATTTGGCTGGGGCTGCTGGGGTACTGAACATTGCTTGTGGCTGGTAGGGGAAACACCAGTTCTTCATATGACTCCAGAAATTCTGAGCATCTACTGAAGACTTTCATTTAATCATCACTTAAAATTCCTCTCTTGCAATTAGTGAGTGGAAAGCTTCACCTCATTTAAACCTGCAAGAATGGCCCAGAGCCCGAGTGTCCTCAGCACTTTGAGCTTCTACACTGCACCTTTTTTTGCCTGAGGATTTCTAAGTGATTTCTAGTTTTGGCTGATGAGGTCCCACTAACCTATGGGAGGTACATAACCACATTACCAGCAGCAGCAAAAGCTGGTGAACTTTCTTTTGTATCTCATAATTCTTCTACCTCTACTGAAAGAGACATGAGG